ATTACATGTATAATAGACACCATGAACATACCAAAGTGGGTTGAGAAAGGTTAAGAAATAAATATTACAGATATTATTTGAAATCCCTAAAGTGGGGCTCACTTCTGTAATTCTAGCCCTCTGGAAGGGTGAAGTGGAAGAATCTCTTGAGCTCAGGAGTTTGAGACCAGCTGGGGCATGAGTGAGACCCAGTCTGTACCAAAAACAGAAAAATCAGCTGGGTGTCATGGCAGATGCCTTAGGCCCAGCTACCTGGGAGGCTGAGGCAGGAGGATCACTTGAACCCAGGAGTTGAAAGTTCTGCTGTGAGCTCCGCTGGTGCCAGAATACTCTAGCCAAAGCAGCAGAATGAGACTGTCTCTAGGAAAAAAAAAAGAAAGAAAGAAAAAGAAAAGAAATCCCTGTGTAACCCTCTGCAATCACATTCCCTCTCCCACACCACCGCCCCCACCCCTGCCTTAATTTACCCACCGTTCAGGCTACCGGTGCTTGCCTTTTACATACTTTTGTTACATGCAAGTGTACTGCTAAAAAATACATAAATAATATCATCGTATGTGTTTTTAAACTTTATGACAAATATATTGTGTGCTTCTGTTGCAGACAAATGCAAGGTAGCCTTGGGATAAGCCATCTGACTCCTGCTGTCTGATGTTCTGGCGGGGATATCCCGATGCAATTTAAACTAGGCATTAAACATAGCTCCACTCCTCACACACACCCGTTCTTGAAATGGGTTAACTGGTTTATAGAAATTAAATGGCCCAAGATACTGTGTAAAAAGATAATTAGTTATAACTAAAGTTTGGCTGTGAAGCTAGTGCTGAAGCAATGCTTTCTAGCAGAGTCGCAGTCTTCACCTGCATGCAGTAAAACTACATTATGCGTAATATATGAATCACTTCATAAAGTGATATGCATTCAAATTAAGGGCCCATCCTTACTCTGCGACTGAGCCTTTCTCAGTCTTGTGGTATCAGAATAGCCTTTTTTTTTTTTGAGACAGAGCCTCAAGCTGTCCCCCTGGGTAGAG